ACCGGAATGGCAGGAGACTTGTCACTTGTGGTCACGGTGGCCGACAATTCTATTGGTTGTGCTGAAACAGCTCTTCTGAGATCCTCCAGCCACCCTTGCTGAAACCTGAGGACAGCCCTATGGTTCCTTTCCTAGGAGGAGGATCAATCCATGGTGCATTTTATGACAATCCTGTCCCCAGGAATGCACGGAAGGTTATCAGGTGAGTGAGGGGGGGTGCCTCTTTGTCTCTGTGTCCCTGAATCTCTGTCTTCTCACAGTGCCCTGCCACTGGCTACTGAACAAGAAAAGTGCTATTAAACATGCTGTGTGTTTTGCTGATATGTAGGTGATGGTCTTGTGGCTCGTGTGTGGGCTTTGAGCTGGGATGGTGAAGGGCTTATAAATACCTCATCAACATGTATTCTAGGTGGCCTGGTGTCACACAGATTTGATTCATGAAGGCATAAAGCCTGCACACTGGTTTGGAAACAACTTGGTTTTGATCAGTCACACTGCATGCATGACTCGCTGCTAATTTCTGGGTGGTTTTTTCATTTTAGGTTTACTCACCCCGTGTCTTCCTTAAGCTGAAAAATACATTTATTTCACCAGAATATTCTCTGATTCTTTGTTTTCACACATCCAGTTTTTCAATTCCTTTAAAAATGATTCTGTGTTTATAATGCCTCCTAACTTCTATCATCTCTAGGTTCCCAGTGGCCTGAGCCATGCACCAGATTTGATGCAGGAACTGTTCCACCAAAAGAAATCCCTTCCCCATAATATCTTTTGAGGAAAATATTATTCTTTAAGGCTCTAACAGTAAATCGTAGAACAAAGCATGGAACATTTCTTGTAGCTAATACATGTTCATGCAAAAATAAATGATATTTTCATTAAACAATGTTGATTTTAATAATTTTTACTAATGTGAATATTATTATTCATAAATTAAGTAACCAAATAAAACCACAGTTATTTATTATGAAGATTGAAAACTATTTACACGGTCTCTCAATTAGAAGTAGCTTTATTAGAAGACTGAAGGGTATTTAAAAGATGGAAAAATACCCATGATGACAACACCATTTTTATTAACTAAATATCAAGAACCTGTCAGGGTTAAGATTTAACTCTCTGCAACCTGCCAAGTTAGCATGAGGTAGTTTGTGGATGCTGCCAGAAGACAGGACACTCCCCCAGGATCAGAGACAAAGGACTTCCTGCCAGCACAGCAGGCAGCCTGTGGTTCAAGTTCATATTGGTTCCTGAGTTCCTTTCCTATTGCTGTTGTAACAAAGGACCAGACTCAGTGGCTTAAAGCAATACACATTCATCTTCTCACTGTTCTAGGGTGCAGAAGTGCAAAGTCAATGTCAGTGGGCTAAAACCAACGTGTGGCCAAGGCTACATTCCACACCGAGGCTCTAGGGAGAGATTCATCTTCCTACCTTTCCCAGCTTGCAGAGGTGCTCACGCTTCTTGGCCCAGGGTCCTGTGTCACTGTGACCTCTGCTGCCACTTTGCATCTCTGTCTCTGACTATATAGATATAAAGAAAGAGTCTTCTACATCTGGTATGGACCCTTTTCCCTAAATGGACATTGTATCCCTATTTATGTGCAGATGAAAACCCCTTCCCTCCAGGGTGCGGTGGCATCAGCTCACAAGATTACCAATCTGGGCTTTAAGTGTCCTCTTTGTATTATCACCTGCGAACTTCTCTCTCCATAGTTAGCTCTGTATTACTTTTGTTGTATTTTACCCGGCATTACTGAAGTTTTACTTAAAAGGGATCCTAATTAGCTCTGTTTACCTGTTTCCAGAGCTGAAAGCTTCAGTTCTAGACTATCTGTCTGATTTCTTAAAATAC